TTAAGGTTTACATTGATACGTATAATCAACGTTATAAATTGAGTAACTAATTTATTTATATCAATTTACTTTTCTTATGTTGTAAGTTACGCGTATAATATTCGTTCTTAAAAATACTTAAAATTTTAGTTTTTAAATCTATTACCAGCGACTTAACATGTTGATGTATAAATTTATGGTTTCATAATTAAACTAAGAAATATTCCTCACACGAATACTGATGTAAAATATATACATATATAATTCGAGTCAAATGTTGGATATGATTCCTTGTATAGGACATGGATCCTCTTAGGATCCATTGGTCATAATCAACCAAATCTCATAATCTTGACCATTGAAATTTGATTTAATGGTTAAAATTATTATAACTATTATTATAAAGTGAGCATCTATTTGTAACCGTTGAATTAAATTTCAATGGTCCAGATTAGAAATTTGATGGATTAAGACCAATGGATCCGGAGAGGATCCATGTTCCCTTGTATATAGTTCTGTTAATACATCTCTACAAAATAATTGAATAGTCGCATCTTTGTCTGACGATATCTTATTAATGGCCAGTGCAAAACATCAATTTATTGCTTAGAACGGCTGCAAATCGAAGAGTCTAGCAAACAAAAGAAGAACGCAAATCGTATATGGAGAAGGCTTTTGAGGCTTAGGCCATAAAATTAATATTTGTTGTATCTATCTTTATGTGTACATATTATTTTATTATATATAATAAAATTTAAAATATTTAAGTATAATAATGGACGTCATATCGACAATATGCATGTATAAAAAAATTATAAAATTATGAAATCACATTCAATGAGCGTCAAATCAAACACAAAAGAAAATAATAACTTGAATTGGACAGTCGGATTGAGACATTGAGTAGGGTTTCCAATTTGATAAGTTAATGCAGATTAACACTGCTAGGACTAAAGGTTGAATCACCTAATTATTAAAAAAATATCACTGATAATCTTAAGAAGTGACTCGTAAATCAAATAGATATTGTACGCAATGGCAGAGTTAAACATAAACCACGACAGCCCTGGCTCTCCATTTCTTTTTATCCCTTGTTATCCTAATTTATATATGTATATAATGTATAAGCACAAATGTGAAGATTGTTAGCTTTGGGGCTGTTTTGTATTTGTGTTTTTGCTTTGGGCCTTTGGTTTTTGTTGGTGCTGAAGGTGAATCCGCCGACCTAAGCATTGGAATGGCGAGTTGCACGGTGATTGTGATGGTAACAATTTTTATCAACGGATTGGTCTAATTTGGTTATCACGTGCTTTATTTAAATTTGTCTTTTCGGTCTAATTGCAGCTTATTTTTATATTTATTTCGTTTAACATTTGTAATATCTTCTTCTATCAATGAAGTTCATGTTAATTGGCCCAAAAAAAGGAACCTTTACGGTGGAATAATAAAGAGAGATAACCACTCCTCTTCTACACTTAATACTCTTGTAACTAATATATATATATAGGATCTGAGGACACACTTTTGACATACGTTTTTGTGGGTTTTATTCTGTAATGTATTTCAACGATTTAACAATTTATTTTTATAACTTAGCTTAAAGATCATGTCAACAAAAAATCACCAAAATTCGAAACTATTACAATTGGATTAAATTTGGTGTTTTTTTGTAGGACCATATTCGTTCATTTTCTTCACTACAAAATGAATGTCTTAGTGCTTTTGGATAAATCCTCCTCTCTTTTTTTTTTTTTTTTTTGTTTCAAATATGAGGATGTACAAAAATAAAGATGATTTAAATCATTGAAATATTTTACGAAGTTAACCCTACAACATATGCGTTAAAATATGTGTAAAAAACAGATGTCTACAGATTTTAACTAATATATATTAAGCTTTATATCTTATGTTTGGCCCCCGAACTTGAAGTTTTAGCTCCACCCATAAATTTGTACAACTACATATTGCTCGTGATGTGACTCGACAATGAGAGAATGCTAAGACTAAATGACTTAGTTATTCTGAGACCACTGATATCAGTTGATTGAATGAAACTTTCAAAGCGACTCAACAACCAATATGACCATGAACAGTAGCGTGAAGACGACCTTTTTTTTTTTTAGTGTATAGTGACCTTCTATTTGTTAATAGTAAACATCATAACCTTGTAATGTGTATATTGGCGTGGCCACATGAAGTTATATAAAGTAATGTACAAATTAGGAAGCGTTTAATGCTTCATGTTAACAATTTAATATCAACAGATGGATAACGACCTCCCATCTTGCTGATCGTACTCACCCAGGAACACGGCTTGTTGAAAAATCTCAACCAGAAGGATACAAGTGGTTATATATTTAAAAAAATATATATGTATATTATGATATTTGGTATATCAAGTTGTGTACTAAAAAATTTCTCTCTAACTACAGAAGCTACGTACTATCAACTTTAACAAATCAAAAGATTCATTCTTAATAAAAATAATGAACTTTATCTACCACTTATGTAATAAGACCTTATTTTTTTGGTAAATAAGAATGCCATATTTGTGACCACTTGATACCGAGCTTCACACTCGCTCTCTAAAATACAAAACTAATCTAATACGATCATTGTTTGGACTGCATTGGTACATAATCTAATTAATTTTGGATTAATATGTGATGAGAAATGTAGGGTAAACCGTGTTATTCTACCAATTAATTTGTGTACCATCTCTTTGATTGAAAGAAAGAAATTATGGTACGATACTGTAATATCTTCACATGAAGGATCAATTGGCAACACAAGCTACTTATACAATAGCAGAGTGACTTAGATACAACTTTTTTTTTTTGTTTGTTAAACCGCAAAGTTAATCTTATTTTAGCATTGCTATCATGGAAAGTGGCTATGAGGTGAATTTATTAATAAAAAAAAGAAGTTATTAGAGACTATTTAACTAATAACAAACTACTTAACCAAGTCTAACAACCCAATGCATCAAATGATGTCACCCATCACTAAATCATTTTTTGTTGGTCAAAATTTATATCATTCAACATAAACTTTTACTCATGTTTAAGAATGTGCATTGGTTATATCGCGTGCCGTATTCTTGTACCGCACTGTGTTTTTTCAGATAAAGAGGTTGAGTTCATCTTTAGTTTTTTACCAGTAAGTCTCACTTATATTAGAGATGTGATACGATAATGTAGCTTATCTATAACATTTTCCAAATGTAAAACCACAAACAGATTATAACTTGATTAGTCGAAAACTCATCCGAATTTGTTGATTGTAATCATAATTAAATTCCTAATCAACCACTGACCACGTAAGTATGGCTTTCACAGTAATGACCAACACTTGAAGAATGATGAATCACGAAATTCCTTGAACCCAAATCAAAAACCCAGAAAAAACTAGATCATGCCATATTGTCATGGGCAATTAAAGATGGCTGAACCACAAATACGGACCAACACCATCCATGATCCATCTAGTATTGTCTTTATCATGTGAGATACGATTGGACGTAGGATCTGTATAGTAACTGAAGTTGGTACCTTTGGGATAAGAGTTGTTACTTGTTGCCCAACAAAATGTTGAGTTTGATGATCACAATACGTGGAAAGTCATGCTCGTACAAACCCAACTCATCAAACCCACGATCTCCAGAATAAGTTACCTACACGGGAGACATATATTCATTATCTCTATCACATACTATATGATATGGAATACGTCATACAACTAGTAAAATAACGAGAATGTGAACATAATATCATTGTATGAAAGTTTTTTCGTTGATATTATCTGTCAATGCATCGATAAATAGTCAGCAATATTTAAAGGTGTTGTTTTTTAGTTTTCTTTATTTTGTATTTCTAGTTAAAGACATTGCTAAAAGTCGTAGATGGTTGTAAGATCAAAATCAAAGTATACAAAAAGGAATATGTATACAAAATCGAAAAGAGCACGAACACACATGGAAGGGAGATGGGTCAAAGGGCTTACTTGCAAGTTGCATTTTTCTTTTTGTTATGAGCACGTCTCTGACACGACCGATCCCCCAAATGTGAATATTAATAAAATATTTGACCATATAATATAGATTTCACACCCAGAATTCATGCAATTTAAGTAAGAAATAAAATCATCCACAAAAAGAAGAAAGGACAGGAAAATATGTGTAGAGACATAGAATTGTCACATTTTAGAATTATTAAACCAAAACTATCAATACACACAAAATTTCACACCAATACGTTCATATCAAAATTCATACAATTATATTATTAGATTTTTTAGACTCTCTGATTAAACCAAAAAAAAAAAGAAAAAAAAAAGAAAGAAAGATATGATCTTGCTTTTGTTATTACGGTGTATGCTATACATTCTCGTGTTTATTGCGAGTCATGTTTAAGACTTGTGAACTAAAGATGAATAACTGCTAAACCCAATAAGTAAGGATAATACTTGCATTTTTTCCTTTAGGGGTATGAGATCATTCACTTGCAAATAACGTAATTTCATCATAGATATTTTATAATCGGAAATGTTCAACTTCTTAATCTTTATTTAAAGATTGTCGTTACGAAAAATCATTCAAATATGAGACTATATAGTCATTCTAATGTATCAAATAAATCAATGGTTCATTATTAATAGTTACTTGATACTTATACTGTTGATTCTTTTTATTCATTTAGATGACTTATTGATCTCAAATTCGAAATAAAATTTCTACGATAGAAAAATATTATTTGCAAATGTGAGAATGAATTCATTCCAATTAACGATGGAATGCAAATATTATGCATAAACTAATGAATTAAATAAGAAAACGAAAGAAACCTAGTCAAGGAAGTGTGCACAATTAAGTCAACCTTCTTGTATGACAGAAATTTGCTAGTTGTACTTCACCCAAAAGTCTACGATTCCTGATTCCCCAGTAACCCCTTTGTTTAATCCCAACCGCTTGCATAGATCCTCTCTCTCTCTCTCTTTCTCTCATAAATACCCCAATACATATCACTTCGTCTACACAAAAAACTCCCTCTTCTTTCTTTTCCTCTCTTCCCCCCCCCCACAAAAAACCCTACAGATATTCTTAGTTATTCACCATCTCTTCTTAGTTTTCTGCACCACATCTCTTAGATTACCAGCCATGGTGGTGGCATCTCCAAACCCAACTCGCAACGAAAAGATCCAGGCCGTTGATCTTCCCATCATAGACCTCTCAGCCGAGAGGTCACAAGTGAGGAAGCTCATTGTCAAAGCTTGTGAGGACTATGGTTTCTTCAAGGTCATCAACCATGGCGTCCCAAAAGACATTATATCCAAAGTGGAGGAGCAAAGCCTCAGCTTCTTTGCCCAACCAGTGTCCGAGAAGCAAAGGGCAGGGCCTTCCGATCCCTTTGGCTATGGCTGCAAGAACATAGGCCTCAATGGTGATACGGGAGAGATTGAGTACCTTATTTTCAACACAAACCCAATTTCTATTGCTCAAAGATCCAAAACCATCTTAAATGAGCATACAAAATTCAGGTACTCTTATTCTACATTCCTCTCACAAGTGTATTTTTTTTTTTATAGTATAGAAAATTTGAAGTATAGGATGAGATTTTTGAAATGTTAATAACAATTTCATATATATATATATATCTGATCGCTATCCGGTAGTTATTATTGGGTTTCAATTCTTTATAGCTACTTTTTCTTTAGAAAGGTGGTACATGACTCGTAAAATTTAGCTAAAATTTATTTAATGAAGGACGGTCGGGGGAAGGGGTAACAATTTTTTGTAGGTCTAGGTACAAACTGTTCATTAGTTAGCCATGTACTTTTAAAGAAAATGATGGGCTCATTTGAAAGTGTGTTTTTCTTTTTATAAGAAGTACTTCAAGTTTCTTTTTCAGAATTCAGGGTTTAGGATTTCAAAACTTGGTTTTTAAGTCTACTGTTTAATCTTTTTTTTTTTTTCTCTATCAGAACAAACAAACTCATTTAAAGGAAGATAAGTTGATCAGCTGCAAAGTTGATTCAAATTCAAACAAACTTGATGATTTTAGTTTCTCTTTATTTCTTATTTATCCAATTTCTCTTATGATTCGAATTCATTTCAAATATTTCTTCGAACACAAACCTTTATTTCTCCGTAAAAAATTATTTCTAAGAATTATTATTGACATTTCAAAATAATAATTCTTCACTAAATAGAAGTGCAAATAAGTTGGAATTTGGAATAACTATTTGAAAAGAGAAGTATTATTGGCACTCCAAAAATCTCATTCTACCCTCCTCATAAGTGTATTTTACTTTCTAAATATAGAAAATTTGAAGTGTAAAATGAAAAATTTGGAGTGCCAATAACAATTCCCTTTGAAAATGTTAATGACAAATTTCTTCATTTTTTATATATGGAAAATCAAAATTAAATTAAAATTGAAAAGTAAGAGATAGGGGAAACCCATTTGGTTATTCACGTGACTTGTTAAAATCTAAACAAACACTGAAAAGTTACAAGGAAACAAAAAGAAATTTTATTTGAACCCATACAACTTTTTTCTACATCAAACTCATGTTTTACATCCATATTATTTTTAATTAAATAATCAATCTTTCTTTAAATCCAAATTTACTATCTAAACTACACTCACAAACTCAATTCAATATATAAAAATTCATCTTTACACCTATTTAGAAAATAAAATCCCAAATTAGTGAATGAAGAATTAAGATTTTTGTCATGGCAACCAATTGTTATAGATGAATTGATTAGCATCATCAATTTGTTTTTTAAACTTTTGCAACATCAGTTTGGAGTGCAAGGTTGTTAGGAAATGATCTTCGTCAAGCTCTTAATAGAGTAGTCCAAGTAGCTAGCCTGAATGTGATTCAACTGAGTGAGGAATTTGTAATTCAAGATTAAACAGTTCAGTAGCTGCTAGGCAAGCAGTTGAACTAGTACTTTGGAATTTGAATCATGTAAAATTATGTGGACACCTTAGTGAAAATATATTTCAGTAGAACTTCTCATCACGTTTTATTGAAGGATCATGGCAATAATTTTCATTTGAGTGATATATGCTGCTTTTACATGCATAAATAGTTGAATTGGAAGCAGAACTGAACAAATAACGAGAAGAGGACTCACACTTTAAACATGCACTCATAATGACATGGAAAACATTTCGATGTGTTGAAAGCTTTCTGACTCTTTTGTTTCTTGTGGTGATATTGCTTGTAATTATTGCTGTTGTTAATCAAGTTAACATGAAGCTAGAGAGGATATGAAAAGCAACCTGATTTGATTATTAGGTGATCGTAGGGTTTTATGGCAGTTCTTAGAAATTTAGTCAGAATGAACGTAGGATAAAGATTGTGTGATTGTAGAACTTGATTATGGAGTATGAGTTTATTGATAAATTTTATTTTTATTCTTAATTTCATCTTGTACTTGATGATAATTATGCAATATATTAAAATAGACAATTCACATTTAGAATTTAAGTTAGATGTAAAAAAAAATTAGATGAATTCAGATAAAATTTTCCAAATTGAAAAGTAAGAAATAGAGGAAACCCATTTGGTTATTCACGTGACTTGTTAAAATCTAGACAAGCACTGAAAAGTTACAAGGAAACAAAGGGAGATGACTACCTCTTCTCGACTCCTAGCTGTCAGTGACACACTCACTGAATCAGACACTCCTCTTCCTCCTCTCTGTCAATAGTACAGATTGTACACAAATTACAGAGCTAGCATGTATTCCATTATTTGAAGGAAATCAGAAAGGAGAAAGATCGAGTACAAAATTGTTGTACCATTATTGTGATGAAAATTGGGGAATCAGAATGACGAGTCAGAGGCAGTGTCACATCAAGAGCGTCAAATCATATCATAAAATAATAAAAACAAATATGATTTTATGTTGTCATATTTTTATTAATAAAAAGAATTTTGTTAATCAGAAGTTTAGATTATTGTGTATAGTTTATATCTAATCTTTAAGAGATTTTTAGTTATCCTCGGTCGGTTGTACATCTCAGCATGGAGTTAGAAAGTGACCACTTTTTAGACTTTGTTGTACATAAAAACTAGCAAGACAATGGTACTGAAAAAATGGAGTCAGAGCAAGAAGACAAACTGCTTATTAAAATAAATAAGAGATAAATTTTCATGAAACAAGTTCACACTACTAATCTCTCGAGTTCTTAATACTTAGTACCAAGCCATGTAGAGAAACTCTTGTACAGCATCTTCTATAAGTGATCTAAAACGTTATGGTAGCCATGAATTCGTTTTAGGATCCATCGGTTTCATGCAGAAAGTGAAAGAAAGTGAAAGAACTGCAAGCTAGACTGTGGGTTCTGAATATCCTGATGAATTGAGTGGTATTGTCTGAACAGCTCGGCAGTGAGTGGATACATTGCAGCAGTTAGGGATTTGGCATGTGAGCTCTTGGATCTGATTGGTGAGGGATTGTGGGTCCCTGACACATCAGTCTTCAGTAGGCTGATCAGGGACGTCGACAGTGACTCGGTCTTCAGGCTCAATCACTACCCGCATCTGCACAACAAGAAGGACATCTGCAAGGATAATGATACGTCACCATCCTCCATCAGTAACATCAGCAAGGTAGGGTTTGGGGAGCATTCCGACCCTCAGCTCCTCACCCTCCTGAGGTCCAACGACGTGGGCGGCCTCCAAATCTCTCCACAAGATGGGGTGTGGGTCTCCGTCCCCTCTGACCCCACGGCCTATTGGGTTAATGTGGGTGACGTGTTGCAGGTTGGTCGATTTTCTCTCACCCTCTCTCTCTTGTTTCTCTTTCTAGATATTCACATGTCATGGTAATCATAACAATCTTAAAAAGAAGACTTTGAATTGATTGAGACTGACTGAGAACTGATTTTGAGTAATCGCTGCAATTTTTTGACTGCATGTAGCCTTTGCATTTTATGGTAAGTGGGGGCCCAGAATTTCAGTCTATAACCAACCAGTGTGTGTTCTTAGTCTGGGGGATTCGCCCCATTGGGTAATTGATGACTGCCCATATTTGAAAGCAGATTGGAACTGAAAAGTGCTTTGGTTAAATGGAAGCATGCCATTTATGGTGTGTTTAAGACAACCTCACAAAAACTAGGTCATTTTTCCTATCAAGTTAATTTAATTGTGTCCAAGGAATATGAATATCATAAGTAATTATACACCTAGACCTAATCCCCTTTATGTTCCCTTTGGGATGGTTTCCTTTGTTCAGGTTGTCATAGTCCTTCCTTTGAATATGAGTTGTGGGTTAAAGCGTGCTGACTGATGATAATCTCACAATTTATCAATGATTGATAGTTGTGCATGGGTAGCTGTCAGTCAATGTTGAAGGTGAATCCTACAACTTATCAATGATTGACATCACATGCATACGTTTAACACTTGTCGCTGAAACAACTAATGTATTTATTCGTAGAAGTTAGAACAAAAGAGGGGAAGAAGCATGATAAACCTTAACTTACCCCAAGTCATAACAATAAAAATTGTCCCACTGAGTATTAAAAAATAGGAAAGAGTATTCATACTTGTTAAAAAATTTAAACCAGGGTTTGCATACTTCTTAAAGAACCCAATTCAACCTAAGAAAGGTGCTCGTTAGGTAGTCACGTCTCATGATAAGGGACATTCCTTTTTGGTTGGAAATGAAAACAACTTCTCATACATAATTGAAAGTTTTTTTTTTTGTTTTTTTTTTGTTTTTTTTTTGTTTTCAAATATGAAGATATAGAATTGAGTGTACTAGCTTGTCTGGTTGAAGTGACTTTATGCTTTTCCAAGTACAACTTTCTTAAATGTCATTAAAAAAGTTTGGCAATCAATTTAATATCAAGTCATGAATCATATCGATAATAGAAGTGAGACTTACGAACTTGCATAAATTCATAATGTAGTCCCATGCTCATAGACAACATCTTCAATAATAGTAAAATACTGTTGCTTTTGTTTAGTTGAATTGTTTTTTTCACTAATGTTACCCTTAATTTTGAAGGCCATGACAAATGGAAGATTTGTGAGCGTTAGACATAGAGCCTTAGCCAATTCATCAAAGTCTAGATTGTCAATGGCGTATTTTGCAGCTCCCTCCCTGAACGCATGTTTGAGTGTTCTTCCAGAAATGGTCACACCGGAGAAGCCTCGGCTCTACAAACCCTTCACTTGGGCTGAGTACAAGAAAACCACGCACTCTCTACGCCTCGGCGAAAACCGTCTTAACCTCTTCAGAATTTCTACCAATGATGAATGCTTCATAGATCAACCGCTGGAATGAGAAGTCATAGAGAAAAAGAAGAGGAAAGTACAAATTCTTACTGCATTGTGAAGCGAAGCAGCCTTTTTCTTTCTTTTTTGTTCTTCATGCATTCGGTTTTCCCAAAGTTTTTCTTACTCATAGCGAAAGTCATAGACTTTGTACTTATATATGGGAAAATGTTGTACTTAATTAGGTTATCAATGAAAGAAAAGGAAGAAAAAATTAATCTCAGGACCTATGGTCTATATTTAGTTTATTTTCGATATAGAAAAAAATTGAGATAAAGAATCAAACTCTTATTGTGAATGTGAATATGACATATGATATTATTATTTTTATTTAATTGAAAAACTGAAGATGAACATCAAACTTTTATTGTGAATGTGAATAAATGAATGCTCTATTATTTGAGATTGAAACCCTACCATCAAAATGATTGATCTTAGGTTTGATAAGATCTTAGGTTTCTAGGCTGTGTATGTATTCATTTAGTTTCAAAAGAAAAGGTTCAAATATCTGTCTTGGTGCAATTCTCAAAAAGAAGAAAATTTTGCCTGCATGCACGTGGGACTCTGTGTACAGGAAAAAAAAATGGTTCCTTACAATTAAAAATAACTTATTTTTACAGTTTTTGGTAAAAAAAAAATTGAAAATGTAAAGCAACAAAAATGAACTTATTCTCACAACACAGCAGAAACAGTTTTTTTTTTTCAAAGCACAGCAATATCAAACCAGCCTTTATTTTGATGCAACCGTGCAAGTTTCCAACTCATGGCATTGAATATGAGAAAGTGGTGAGATTCTTATGTACCATCGTATAATCTTTGGCAGGTAACCTTCTAAAGATTGTTTTCCTACCTTACACCATGGACCAGACTGCACCATAATAATCTTCAATTCAAATATGAGAAAGTGGTGAGATTCTTATGTATCATCATAATATATTCTCGTGAATTTACGACATTCATTTTCTAACCTGTAAACTTGTATATGTAAAATATAATTTTGATTATACGTAAGGATTTATGTCTCGACATCGTTACTAATAGGACATAAAGTATGATGTAAGATGATGTGGAGGGTAAGAATCTAACCAAAAACCATCACAATTATTTGCTAGGTTTATGGATCTGGATACAAAGAATTATTGAAATAGGTAGGACTAGTGACTAACAGGAGTTGTGTGGCCCCCAATTGCATCCTGCAACCCAAGCACGAAGAAAAATCACACAGAAAGCTGCAAATGTTCTTCAGCCAAAACCACTCGTTTAATTTTTTCCGGAAATCATCTTTTTATTTTATATGTTTCGTGATTTATAATCTAAACGCCCCTATCTTAAGCACGAAGTCTATGAATTGAGTACAGAATGTGTTGAGAAGGATTCCTTCAAAACCTTGAGCAGCAAAGAATTGTTCTTAAATTAGTTAGGTATTAAGTAATCTACTCGGATGAACCTAATTCCAACGCACAAAATGAAATAAGAGAATTAATTTGGTAAATCATGTAAATGGCTAAACTCCGTTCAAATTTATTACATTTTCCACATCGTACAATGATACATGTAAATTGTTAAGCCATAGAAACATAGGAGACATGAGCTAAAAGGCTCTCCTAAAATCAATCTGTACTTCAATGGGGTATATGCTATCCACACACCTCTTTTTATTTTCCACACACCCCTCTCAATTTCCGATTGTTAGATCGAATGAATTGAAGAGAATCACTGGATAGAAACTTACAAGGGGTGTATGAAGTAAAAATAGGTGTGCGGATAGAAATTACAGAAGAATATGCAGTTTTACACCTGCTGGCTGTTAGAGAAACTCCAATGCCTATCCTTATTTTGGACCAAGTCACCTCCGAACCATCACCCACGGTTTTGTTAGTTACCCACGTTCACCGCGTTGCCCACAAGCACCGAGCATAAATATATCCTTGTCACTAGACCGCAACCTGAGATTTTGCTGCAAAGCGTGAACACTTCTTCCGACTAGTTTTGTTGAGAACACAAACGCAAGTCTCGAGAAGTTCATAATCTTCCTCCCAAAACAACAATGACGCTTTCTCGGGGTTCTCCAAAAGCATCTTCGAGGTTAGGTAACCAGCAATTGTCCACGTCTGGTGAAGCCGGGATTGCTTGCCTACAAATCTCCCACTTTTTGTGTCATAGTATTCGGGCCAGTGATCCATAGAAAGCCTCTTTTCTGCCAAAGCAACTGCCTTTTCCGCTAATTCTGTCCTCCCCATCTTGATGCAAGCCAATGTGAACTAAGATAATTATAAAAGACAGAGTTACAGAAAATCAGATAATCGGGTTGCAGCACATAGTATACAGGATTTATAGAACTAAGGACAATCGGTAGGGGCACAGAATAACTCTCTGGATCACTTCCACAAAGTAACCCCAAAAAGAAAGCGAAATGATCTAAAGAAACTCCTTTTATGGACATACCTGCCATAGGAGGGTTGGCCAAGATCCACCATTATGATATGACCAAGGCCTACAAGTGGAGACAATAAGTGCATAAGCAATAATTCCACCGGGAGAAAAGCTTGTAGTCAGAAGATTTGCAGAACAATGAGGTATACATAAGTAACAAAGAGAATAAAATTTGTAGAGCCTCACGTGTTTTTTGGGTCACCACCAGTAGTTATTCGCCATTCTTCATACTCCAGAGCGGGGTAGCAAATTTTAAGGGGCATTTGAGCCACGAAATCATCCCATTTGGACTCAATCAAATTCAAAATACCCTCATTCTGTTTTTGGGTACCCAGAGATGATACAATGGACCAAAGATTTCCAAGAGTGAAGAACCTAAAATCCATATGAGCAGGTTGCAGATTGCCAATGAGGTAACCACCTTCCTCAGGAATCCAATCTACTAACCAAGAGGGAATTTGATCTGGATAGATATTGAACTTGTTGATGGCATCTGTGGAATATTCCTCTGTCTTGTAACGATAAATCTCATTGATCTTCTTCATATCCGCCCAATAATACTCTCTGATGTGAAATGAGAGTGCACTAAGTCGGTTATTCACTGCAGTCACCAAATCTTTTGTTCCGTCATTGACAATGAGCATTTCACGTGAGCATCTTAAAGCTGAATAAAACAGTGCCTGTATAACCAGATTTGTTAAGTAAAGTACAAACCAGAGAGGCAAGCAAAATAAGGGGCCAAATAAGAAGGCAAGCAGAGGGCTAGTGTTCTATCTAATTTATTAATTAACCAATTTAAGCCACCATTCCCTTGGGGGGACACTATGATAGTTAGGAGTTTTCTCTTAAGAAATATTGGACACAACCGATGGTGTGACTTCTATAGAAAGAACAACGGACAACAAAACCCAGCTAGAAGCCTAGGATATGACACGTATAAAGGCACTAAACATTTTTACATTTTCAAACTTACTTGGATTTCGAGAGGGTGTCCATGAATACCCATCCGTCTATCAATCATACAGGACCCATCAGTGACCAACAGGGTTGGAAACATGTCAAATCTATTTTTTAAACACAGATTAAGAATCAGCCTGATGCCTGTCTGGAACTCCACCCTTTCTTGTAATGCATAATCACCCGTGATCTTTCCATAAGCTCTCAACAAGATAATCCACCACAACCCTGTCATAGTAATTCAAATATAAATCAGATACTATCTAACTGATTGTAAGATTGTAATGTCAATATGGTCTCCAACTCTCCCCTCTGCATCACTTATCCCAACCTAAAATGGACAAGAAAAACCTGAAACAGTACTTTATATATGTCACAGTAACCAGCAATTAAGATTAGATTACCTGAATCAACAGGTGCTACACGGCCGATGGCTGATTCACCAAAATCAGGATCTAAAACTTCCTCAAATTCTCCAGGGCTTGCATCAAGAGGAACAGTCCTCACTTTGAAGCTTGCCGGCATCAACCCTTGCCCAGGGCTGTGGCAGTCCACTGTCTTCTCCCAGCTCTAACAAATGACCAAACAAGAATTAATCAGATGAGCAGTCACAAAAATGTGGCAATGCTCAATGCGGAACCAGATTACCAAAATATATTTGAATTTTGAACAGCATGCCAATTTCTATTCTTACATCACCACAGATGTCATTGGGGGTATCAATAAAGAGTTAAACATGTTAAATTTGCTAATTGGAGGAAACAACGAGATCATATACAAAATCTCAAAATCAAAACTCTAGCAACAAAGTTGAAATAGCATTGGTTTAAAAACAATCGTGGGAAGAAGATAGACAATACCATTACAACCAAAAGTTGAATTAGCATTGGTTTAAAAACAAGCTAATGCCAACATATACGCAACTGATAAAGATTGTGTCATTACCTGTAACTGCAAAGTGTGAAGCAGAAAATTCTTGACAATCTCCGCATCCCCATTGAGCAAGAAAGCAAGTGCCGATGGGACAAAATCACGAATAAAGACCTGATCGTAATTGAGGGGTGTCTTGTCAGCCGGATCAGTAGCAGCAAGAGTTCCCACCGGATTCCCACAGTAACTAACAACGGAATCTCGAAGTAACCTCCAGGCCTCCTCTTCAATATCAGACAGCTCTCTCTCAACCTTATTGTCATTCAAACCCTTGGAATTACCTACATTTACATTTACATTCACATTTGAGCTATTTACCTCTACCCTAGACTCCTCTTCCTTAACTACATCACCACAATCCGTCTCAATCCGCTCAACCACTAAAGGTTTCACATTCAAGCCACCTTGAATGTATATACTCTCGAACGAGGTCTTCCCTTTAACCTGAGACTCCACCGAGGTTGAATGGTTCCTAATATCCGACGCTACATTCGGTATCACTAAAACACCCCTTCTCCTACTACTACCCCTCCTACAACCAACACGGCTATTCTCCGTATAAACCCTAGACCGCCCCCAATTCGAATCGAAACCACTAAAATCTCTCCGATTCGGATCAATTACACGTATGTACCTTACAGTCTGGGAACTACAGCCACGATCGTGACTTCTGGATCGCAATTTGGACAAATTACCAGTAACTTTTCTATTCAATTTCGGCTGCCCAGAACCGAAAATTGAAGAACCTCTGTAGCCATAGCCTGTGATAATTCTACAACATGGCCTCACGCTCACGGTACAGATTCCAATACAATTGCTGCTACTCATTCTATCTATATTTACACTGATCACAAAATCCACTAATTTTTTCCCCTTTTTTCTTAAAATCCAAAAATTAAGTACCAAAAACTGAAATTTGTGTTGTATTTTGGTAATTACGGCTCTGTTAATCTCGAAAAAAATTCAGAAAAACAGAGCTCGATCCGACGAAATTCTTGGATTATATAAATTATCAGAATTTAAAGCTAAAATTATTAGAAAAAAGAAAAGAAAAGAAAAACAGAAAGTATACGTTACTTACAGTTGATCTGCTCCAAGAGATTGAATGAATTCGAATGCGTGAAGAGAGAGAGCGTGTTCGTTTGGGAAAGTCGGTTGATACCCGCGGTTTTATAACCAACGGAAACGGTAAAGTTAAGTGGGACCTCTATTTGTAATTACATTAATAGCCCTGCGTGTGCAGGGTTATAGGTGCGTATTCGAGAAAGGGGTGACGTTTTTAAACGAGGCTAAATTTGTCCTTGTACTATCAATTGGGTCCGTTGCGGGGACCCACGGTGTCTCGGTCTTAGGAATTAAAAAATGTGCGGAAATCAATAAAGCGCGCGTCTGCGGGTTTGATATTTAGATGACGTGGAGGATTGGGTAAGAGGCGAGGTTCCAACAGCGACGGAGGAAAATCTATACGGAAACGCGTGCGTACGAGTAGGTTGAGTGCTTTGACCAGAAGTATCCGTCAACAGACGATGACGACGATGATGTGGAGGATGAGCATGTCTTGCACGTTACCGTTAGAATCTAACTTCAGATTTGGGTCAAGAATATTGGGCTTGGAGGCTTCGCAGAGTCAAATTCAAACTTGGTTTGGTTAAGGCCTTTTGATGCAATTGTATTCTCTGGTCTTCAAATAGGATGGTTTTAATGGGCTCAAACTTAGTAATTTCACAATAGATGGAGTGGCGGAAACGAGGAGATCTTGTAGTATTCATTTTTATTGGTAAGTAAAAGAGGTTTTCAGTTTAATTCTCGTTAAACCCGAATTTGAATCACATTATGCTAATTCATTGTAAGGCTTAGCCTGCTCTTGCACTCCCTTAATATAGATAATGTCGTTTGTTAAAAAAAATAATTACACTAAAAGCAAGGAGATTGGGCTAAGCTACTACATACAATGGGCCAGCATTAAATTGGTATTTAATTATTCGTTCACGGGCACACTCACAAGGGATGTATAGGGTGCTTTAGAATCACACCTCTTATGAGTGGTGTCGTATCTTAGAATTTCTTTGCAAACAAATAGTAGACCTCATATTTTATTTGTTCGTATCTGGTACATAATATCACCGTAGATGTTTACTTGTGTCATACAAATCCTCATCAGGCTCTTATTGTCCAATTCAGAAATGGAAGCACAAGAAAGCTTGGCCCCAGGCCAAGGAAAACTTGATGGTAAAGACAAATTTGTGTTTAAATAAATCCACTCTCTTAAGTCTAAAATAGTCCGAGTATTTCTGAGTAAAATAAGTAAATTTCATGCTGAATATCGTCACTGATGGCGTAAGCAGTGATTCCATTTACATTCGTACATATGCCAGATTCCACTAAATAATTGTGTATTACATAAAATATGAGTAATAATAAAAAAAGATGAATGATCAAACTTATTCAGCTGCTGCTGGACCCGTGTTTTACGTGGATGTTAATATTATGCATAAACAATTTAAACTTTCGTTTCCAGTCAAGCCACTAGGCTGCTAAAACTCGTTAATAATAATAATATGTTTAGTTTAAAAAGAAGATCAATGTTTTCTAACACAAAATTATATTGTTTCTTGTCACTTTGTTCACGCTTAAACTATGTCCCACTTGGTGGGATAATTTAACCCGTTAATCTAAATTTAGCTGGTTTAATTTAGACTTCAGCATATAAACGTTGTGCATGTACGTCATGCAATTGTAGTTTTGACATCAGATGGGCAAAGCATGGTACGTCAGCCACGGATAGGGATGGGCAAATACCCATTAGTTATGGGTAACCGCGTTACCCGTCCATTTAAATTAAACGGTTACGATTATGGGTAACCGTTTAGATAAATAAACGGTTATGGGTATAACCGTTTACCCGCGAAATTTGAATGGACGGTTATGAGTTTAACCGTGTTTATAAACGGGGTAACCGTTTACCCATTTATTTTATATATGTAAAACTTAAACAAATCATGTTCTCGATCTAATAATACTTAGCACCCAATAAATTAGCAAGGAATTCATCGGTCCTTCTCTCAATAACACTGTTTTAGGAATGATGATTCTCATTATCAAGGAATTAGTCAAATTAATTTAAATTCATTGCGGGTAACCGTGAAATTGACAGAAATGCTTTGACATAAATGTCTTCTAAACAATTTTTGTAACCCAATAATACTTAGCAAATATTATATTTATCTTCATTGGTAACAATTAAAAATATCGTCCGTAAACTATTATTTCAATTATTGGAATGGTATAAGGATTTAAAAAATTAAAATATGGAAATATATGATGAATGTACCTATAACGGTGTTTAATTGTCAAAAAAAAAGAAAATTATGACTATTTTTTTTTAATTTTCAAGTTGTTAAAAAACATGTAGACGGGTGAAAAGGGGGTAATGGTAAAAAAAAAGATAAACGGGTTTAAAAAGATAAATGGGTAAACGAGTATTAAACAGTTACGGTTAAATGGGTATGCGGTTATGGGTATGGTTAACCGTTTATAAACGGTTATGGGTATGGGTATGGGTATAACCGTTTAGGCAATTACCCAACGGGTAAACGGTTATGCATGTATGAGCATAAACGGTTATGGGTAAATAATCGCAATTACCCGTCCGCCATAACCGGTGTCCATTCCTAGCCACGGATTTGAAGTTGGAGGTGTGTTAACAATATGGTTACTCAGTAATTTGGTGTCGCAAATTTACATGTAATAGTATATGTGACTGTTATGATTGATATTTTTCGCGTTTCATGTTAAAATACAATATTCATAAATAGATATGCATGCTATAACATGAGTTGATTGATAACATCACGTTGTGTCGTGGCCATAACATGTTATCTCACTACACTACAGTCAAACGCATTTTGCGATATTTGAAAGGTACAATGTCATCTAGGATTACATATTCTACTGGAGAGTTCTGCTTGAAAGCGTTTAGTGGTGCAGATTGGGCAGGCGACCCCAATGATAGAAGGCCTACAACAAGGTTTGTTGTTTTATTGGGATCAAATCCAATATCTTGTCTTCCAAGAAGCAACAAACTATTTCTCGATCATCTACAGAGGTAGAGTATCGGGTCATGTCATCCACTACAGCTGAACTTGATTGGATTCAATAACTCTTGACCTTTCTACATGTTAAAATGTCTAGTGCTACTGTGCTATTTTGTGATAATTTGTCAGCCATAGCACTATCTTTTAATCCAGTTCAACATCAAAAGACCAAGCATATTGAGATAGATGTTCATTTTGTTTGTGAAAAGATTGCTTAGAAGAAGTTGCTTGTTCAGTTGTATCTTCTCAGGAGCAGTTTGCAAACATTCTCACCAAGGATCTTAGTGCCCACTCTTTCGAACTCACTGCAACAATCTCATGCTTGGCTCTCCCAACCATGAGTTTGAGGGGGGATGATAGTAGGGGTGGGTTCAAAAAATCGAAAATCGAAAAAAAACTGAAAACCAAACAGAACCGAAACCAAAAAAAACGAACCGAACCGAACCGAATTCTTTTGGTTCGGTTCGATTTTAGTGATCTAGAAACCGAACCAAACCGAACCGAACCGAATTAATTAAATTAATTTTTTATTTAATTATTTGTTTTGGGTATTATTTTATAAACCCAATTTGTAAGTTAAAATGTGCTAAACCCAATGTGTTGCCAAACTTTAAGCTCAAAATATTAAAAAAAAAAGCCTATAAAAACTCTAAACCCTAACCTATTATTTATCCCCCATATAAGGTTCCGGAACCAAACCTCATCCTGAAGTACCTACATCCATCTCCATAGCACTGTCTACTTCTACCTTAGCTTTCTTTTCCAAATCTACTCTCATATAACATGTAACAAAATCCATAAACATTTATTTCAGGTAGATTACTTGGGTAATTTGTGATGGAAACGAATCCAACACACACTAAATAAATCCACCCATGCATTACTTTTACTAATCAAGTTGTCAACATGCAGTTACAAGCAAACAACCTTGATCTTTGAACAACATCATACAATTTAACTTTTCTAAGTCATTTGTACGATTTTTGTGTTGTGAGGTTGTTAGTTTGGACTTTGGAAGACTTGATTGATGATTTTAGTTCAACTTTAAATGTTTATTTTCATTGTCTTTGATTCTAGTTAGAATGCTTATGTTATGATTGTGTTGGATATGTTAAAATTTAAAATTTCAATGTTTTTCATTTTTTGAAAAAAAAAAAAAACAAAAAACGGAAACCAAACCGAAAAAAACAGAAAAAAAAATGAACCGAACCGAAATTTCGGTTTGGTTTCGGTTTTGGAAAAAAACCGAACCGATTTAAACCGAACTCACCCCTAGATGATAGAGATAATGTAGAACTTGTATGAACTAGGATTGTGACACTTGTCAAAAGATTAGAAGAGTTAGTTATAGTTGTTTGAATATGCAACTGTAAAAATCCTTGTATAAATACCCTCATAGTGTAATAACTTCCTCATTGAGTAAGAAATTCACAAAAACATTCTCTCTCTATCTTCAATTTCTCTCGACTTCTCTCTCTAATTTCTCTGTGTTCAATCTTCTACTTCTTGGTTTATAACCATAATCAACAAATCATCCACTGTTGTAATCTTTTAACCTACTAAGGTTAACCCATTAAGAGTTGGGTTATATGTATAAGTATGAGTAGCTATGTATAGAGTTAAAAACTCTCCAATAAAAAAAAATCACAATTTTGATGGTCGGTTGACTCCTCTTCCCAAGCTGCTTGTGCCTTTGTGTTACGAGACAATCGAGGTTTGCCAACAACTAGAAAGATTGGCATTACTTATATTCTGGTAGCTGAAGGTCGAGCGCTCTTAGATGGTCTTCAAGCTGCGTTGGCTCGGGATTTCCTTTGCTTGGAGGTTGAAACTTGAAAGTGATTCTAAAGTCCGTGTTGATGCTATTAATGGGACCATCTCTCTCCACTGGTGCATAATATTAAAAAATTGTTAGCAGATTTTAGAATATCTCTTTCCATCATATTTATCGTGAAACAAATTTAGTAACCGATGCTCTGGCTAGTGTTACTCAGTCATCTTCTGATAGTTTGTCTTGGTAGTTGACTCTTTCTCTTTACGTACATTCA